GTTTAGAAGCTTTTCTAGTCTTTGGGTTTAAAAAATACCCTTTTTGTTCCGTGTTAAATGATTTTAGCTGGCCTAAGAAGTGTTCAGCATTGTCAATGATTTATTCTTGTTGTCAGTTTAAAACAATCAATCTTCGTTTCGGCAATTTATGCATGCCGTGTGGCCATCGTAAACTAGAAGGTTATCGCTGTTAAAAACACTAAAATTTACTGGTCTATCTAAAAAATATAGTCCAATACAAGTTTTCTCTATTCCTGTTTATAATTTTTAATTCTGATTTAATTTATCTCTTTATTTAAAATATAATATTAATAATTCTGTATCCAAATATCTACGGTCAACTAACAAATAATCAATTTATTTTATTACTTAAATAGTGTAGCTGCAGAGATAAAAAAACTAACTTCGTGATTGACGTTCCGTATAATCTAATATTAAACTAATTAAAAGACTGTCACACTGAAGGATTAAAGTAATAATGTTAATTTAATACATTTTAATTGTTAATGGTGTTTAAAATCAATAGATTTGTCAATTTTCCCATAAAGATCTGCTTTTAAAGCATATTTTTTTGTCTCAGAGACTATAAAAGTGTAGAATATAACGCCAAAAAGCACATAAAAAGTATTGTAAAATCTTGAAACGCATAAGTTTTTAAAGCATAATTAAACAAGAAATTTTGAAATATGCAAAACATAATTAATACTTGATTTTATTTTAAATGCTTAATATTTTATACCTGTAAATTCATAATTTCGGTGTCTATGATGCACTTTTTGTTACTTTATTATTATTGTTTTAAAAGTAGTCAATTTAATAATCGTCAGTGATCCAAAAGATAAGAAAATACAAATATTTTTTTTTAAGTTACAGAACTAAAAATCTACGGAGATAAATTTGTCAATGACAGAAAGTGAATATTTGCTATTGTTTTAAATGTTTTTAATTGATTTAAATGTTTTTGATGTTAGATTTCATTTTATTTTAAATGTCTGATCATTTATACCTGTAAATTCATATAAGTTCCTAAAAGAATCGTCAGTAATTCAAAACATAATAAAATACAAATATTAGCTTTTCTTTAACTTAAAATGTAATAAGTTTGTCAATGACAGAAAGTGAATATTTGCTTTTTTAAATATTTTTGATACATTTCAATCTATATTGATATTTTTATGTGTATATTTCTAAAACTTTCTGGTCAACTAAAACCTGATTGATGCTCTTTATAAATACCTAACTTTATATTAGACTAGAAACAAAAGCTAACCTTAATTTATTTATTTGAGCTTTTACAGTTCAAAATCCTAGCAGTTAAATTCTAATATAAAAACAACTTATATTTAATTAACACGATTATCGTTAAAATAAGGCGAGCTAAATTTCGAGAAGTGCAATAGAGACATGTTTTAACCGGTCGAATAACTCGAATAATTCAAATTACTCAAATTATTTAAGCTCACGGTCTTTGCAAATTGAGGTAAACATTAAAGGCTCAAAATATCGTATGAATTTATAGGAACGATTTTATTGGGAGAACGCTCCCATATAAAAGTTGCCTAATTTTATTTAGCACCGTAAAGAGAAAAACTTAAGAAACTCGTATCTTAAGTGTTTGATCATTTTTAAAAAATATTTAACACCTTTAATTAAATTCAACAGTATAAAAATAATTCTTCATGTATGTACTCTTTACGGTAAATTACTCTGATATATCACGTACCAAGTATTTTAAATATGTAATACGAGCACAGCCGTACCTTCCTTTTCTAGAAAGTATTAGCGACACTTTTGACCACCCTGTAACCCAAAATGTCTAGATCTATCAAAATATCAGATCATCAAAACACACAACAATTTTGTTATAAATTGTTACTATTAATATTAGACATCTTTATTTCTGTAATAATTATAATGACTTGGCAATTAAATGATTTCGATATTCTACTAATTAAAAAACTTATTCTTAAGTGCAATGTTTAGGTTTACTTAGTAATCGAAATAGTAGATTATTCTTTTATAATTATAATGCCTTACAAGTGCCAAGTCATCATAATTATTGCAGAGCATGTTTTTACTTTCTATGTTTATGATGGTATTATACATTCAAAATAAATCAGCGTTTTATTCAAATAAGACTTTTTTTAAATATACAAAATATATTTGTTAGCGAAAGGCATTTTAATTACAAAAATTCTCTTTGTTTTAAGTTTCGTTTTCTCCTAAACATTTACGTTTTAATAAGGTAAACTTAAATTTAAAGTTGAAAATAAATACTGTTAATAAAAACATTTTTATTAATATTGAAATACAAAAGAAGTCAGAAAATACGTCCAGTTGTTTACTATTTTCTTGCTTGATCTATCAAGTCAAGGGATAAAAGGTATTTTAGGTATATTTTAATTTTGCGGTCTTTAATATTTCTATTTAGATTTATTGCTTTGCAAATACTACAATGTTTTTTCCCTCTAAAAATTCTTGACTTAAAGAATAGCCTTTTCATCTTTCTGATAATAAATCAAATCTATGGCTACGTGAATATTTATTATTCTCAAATGGTCAGTCACTTTATAGTCTGATATAATGCCTGTTATAAGAATGTACCAATTCAACATAAGATAAAAGCTCATGTTTTTACCTTAAATTAGATATAACAAATGACAAAGTTTTTATGTTGGTGTCCTTTATTACTTTTAAAAAACAATTTTTTTAATAAACTTTTGAAAATATATAAAAATAAAAATAAATTTATCCTAAATTTCTAATGAAATTTAAGTTCTAACAATGCTTCTAAAGCTTTATTTATATGTAATATTGCAAAGGATCTGACCATGTAATAATACACGTATTTATGAAATAATTTAATACCAGCCATAGCTGGAAATACAAGAAGTTAAAACAATGCTAAACACTAGCTTAAATAAGTCAATTTCTATGCAAATAATGTATAAATCAAATGAAAAACAATTGTAACTTTGCTTTCTGTCAGTTGAATAAATAAATTAAAGTTACAGATAACACCGTTATGGTTATTTCCATTTTATATTGTTATAGTTGTAACGCGCGTATCCAATAAATATTTATACGAAACCGTAAGCTAAAGGTTAATTAACTTTTTTTCGTTATTGAAAATAAAATCACATTTCGCATACATTTGTTTAACACAAAAAATATTATATTTTGATCTAATAATATACATATATTATATTATTATTATTATTAAAATATAATATTTACTGACAAAACTTTTAACATGTTTGATAAATGATATCTTATTAATAGTATATTTATGTTCATTATACTCTCTGTAATATATAAAAATTGAACATGTTAATAAAGATATAATAAAAGAAGAATAACAAAAGCTTGAAAATAAATAAGGTACTTATGTAGAATAAGAAATAAATTAATAATGCGTAAAAAAGAAATATCCAAGAAAACTACTCGAAAATTGTTGAAGCATTATATCGCACACAATTCCTACATAACTGTATATAATCAGATTAACTTTTTAACAACTATTTGCGTTAAGCGAAGAAAACGTAGTTTTAATTATTTAATGAAATTAATTTGTATTTGAAAATATTTTCATTGGGAAGTAACCTAAAATGAATATATCGATCTTTATCTCATATTTAGATTTAATATTAATCAAATAACAAATTAAAAATTGATACCAAAAGTATTATGAATATTTGACAAGTGAGCAAAATTCAGAAGTATAATAATTATCGTCCACTAAACTGCAGAAAAGTTTTTTTAAAAAAGAAAATTCCAAAGTAATATAGATTAAAATACAACGGCGTCAGCGAGGGCTATGAAATGAAGATCGCTATCATTTTATACGTAAAATTATACGGTGAATGTCATTGATCGTCATTACCAAGCCAACTGGAGGCCGTTTTTTTCGATCATACGGTATTTATAACTTAATTTGATATACAGAATATAAGTCCCAGAAATAAGTGTAAGTATTTTAACTGGTAGTATATTTCGGCCTAAGAAGAGAAAATCCAGAAAAGATCCAGTGGTTCTAAAAAATTTAGCAAAAAATCAATAAAAGAATCATATTTTCTTTTTTCTGTTTATCGAATGTCCAATATAATCGAGTTATTTTTCTTTGAAAAATAACAAAAAATGATTTTTGCTCTCCTAAATTTAATCTACTACCTACATATGCTTGCATATTATCAATATATTATGACATTTAAGTAAACATTAAAAAATCAATTTTTTGCCAGAAAATAACCTCATAGATGTGTTTTTGCGGTCGAAATATACCACTTTATTAAAGAAAAATTGTATTTATTTAAGACTCACCCTGTATATTTAAATATATTTTAAAAAAAAATAGCTCACACACGAATTAGAAGAAACACAAAATATAAAAAAAATAAAATATACAATTAAGAAAAAAACCACGCTAAATAATAATTTATATTATATAAAATAGTTATAATGATACTATATTCTTTAAACTTCCTGAAAGTGCATTTTAAGTTGGAATAAACAATAATTTAAATTTTAATTGTTGTAAATAATATTGTAATGACATGATATAGTAATGTAGTAATAAATAAATGCATTTTATAAATATATATACCAGTTTGATTAAGTTTAAACATATGCGTTGTATTTTTACTTTTATTAAACAGAAAGTAATAAGGAAACGTGCACCCTATACATAAAAATTATGCAATAATTCTAAAAGGAAGCTTCCAAAAGTTTATGTATGCAAACGAAAGTCTGTTTTATTTGAATAAGAAAACTTTGAAACTTTTTACGGCTAATAAGCTTGGGAGACCATTTAAATATTTATGAGAATTATATCACAAAAATGTTACGAACGTGATACATGAGGAGAAACAAGGTCCCAAACCCATACCAAAGCCGTTCCATGTTGTTTAAATATGTATTAATAAAAGAGACACCTGTTAGACGCACACATACATGGATGTGCGGAAACAGAAACTTAATAAAAATTTGAGAAATATTGGTACCTTGGTTGATGATAAAGAAGACGTACAACAAAGTGACGGTGACACTTCGGCGTTGATTTTTGGCCATCGTTTGCGATCGCTGTCGGTTTGCGGCAAAAGTTTAAAGTGATTTTATTTACGTGGATCGCGCGTCCCGATATCCGGCAGATCGGGGAAGCAAGTTGGCATGACAGAAGTCGCGAGAAGACTGCCGCAGGCTGTTGGGAAATGCGACAGAAGCTGGAGAGAATAGCTGCGCTCGCGGAACCGAACGATAGACGAGAAGCTGAGTCGCTGCATCACACGCTTTTCTTCTCGTACAGATACAGGTACAGAATGCTTACTGCTTAGCGGAACCGTCGTTGAAGTCCTTAATTTATCTCGACGGCAAACTCAACCGCAACAGTTGTCCAACAATTAACTTTCTAGGCGCTTATGAAAATCACACTTTACTAACACTTTTTTAAATCTAAATTTTCTTCAAAAGTATATACATACCGGGCTGGCAACTGTTACTTTTGGGTCGGTATTTACACGTGTGAAAGTAAATCGCATAGGGATCTTATTAAGTCGGAGTGAGAGAAATGCGACGGTGTGTTGTTGCGACGTTGCCGGTAGGCCTTTCCCTATCAAGTAAAGTAAAATCACGATCGCAAACCGCTTATTTTTAAAAGACTTTTTTCGGAAAGATAACTAGATAAAATCATTAGACATGTTTCTGAGCATCTGAAATGGAATTATAAGGATATCTTTAAGGTGCCATTTTTTTATAACGAGAAAATATCAATAATCGCGATAATTTAAAAACTCAACTTTTTAACAAATAACACGCCATAACTCAAGAACCACTTTAGATATTGAAACTTTTTTTTATTGAAGATCGGATATTTTACAATATGTTTACATAAGAAATATTCGATACCGTTGTTTTTTTCCATTCAAAAATTGTAAACAACCCATTCATTTACTTTTAGAGCATAGCAATTTTCAGCAATCGTGTAATTTTTTTATTGATAAAGATTTTCACATACTACGAAAAAAATACAGCAGAAATATTAAGGAAGTTTTTGAAAAAACTACAAACAATTATTTCTAATAGATTTCGAGATATCGATTTTTGAATTCAGAGTTCTAATAGCGCGACCACTGTCGAACACCAACTCGATACCACTTATTTTTACCAAAAATGTGTTTCTAGCTTGCACTTAAAAATGTTCAAGCTATAGGGAAAATTACAACGACTCGTTGATAAATAAACAAATAAATCATCACCAGACGAAATTAAATCGTGAAGCTGGATACATGATGTACACCTTTCCCTAGAATTTCAACTTCAAGTACTGACAGAGGTACTGATTGGATCGAGCGGCTAACTGCAACAAATCTGCTATATCCCTTTCAACGTCTCTTAGCAATGTGCACAGTTTCTCGGTTTATTTCATACGTTTGGCAACGTGTTTACTGTTCTCTCTTTGTTCAGTACATTATAAACGCATTGTACTCTTCTTACATACGGAAATCTCGACCCAAGACTAACCTTTGCTAGCCTTTAGTACATTAGATATACAGGGTGTCCTAATGTGCCGTGGACATAGAACTACTGCGTATTTTTAGATCTGTATTGCATGATATTATGTTGGACACAATTTACCTCTTTACAAAACTGCTTCATTTGTCCGTTAGAGGGCATCAAACTTTAAAAAAATAAACGCTTTTTTTAAGATATTCTTAGAACCGATTCCGATTTGAATAAAATTTCCTGACTTTCACAAAAATCAAAAAAAAGTACAGGAAGGGTGAAAACTAACTCCACCTCTTCATAATTTTTTTTCAGCGCCACCGACCATTGATTTAGTAACATGGTCCTCCTGGTGTTTGCTATATTTCTTGTCTCTTTTAAAAAAAACCCTCTACCTCAGAGTTTTTGAGAATTTTTTTTCAAGCCAGCCGGTGCTGCCACCATCGGAAAATATCGTAAACAATCGGTATATACAAATACATAGATTTAAATAGCAAATATACGAAAAAAAAGTTATATAATTATTCTAAAGTGTTGGGAAGTATAATTTAAAAAGAAGTAAAATAAAATGTTGATTCGGGAGAGTTGAATATCTAGGAAAGTTGAGTAATTGAATTTTATTGCACCCAACAACCACGTAATTACACCCTCCTTTCATCAATTTTTCGGAATTTTATTAACATTTAAAATTGTCAGAACACAACGCGACGCCCAGTTCCAGTTTTTCTTCACTAAATTTTTACTACCCGAAACAGCGTTATATCACAAAAACCTCGTACCTGAGTGTTTTATAGTTTCAATAACTGCACTAGCAAAAAACTAAAATTCGTAAATATTACGACAAAGCCACGATTTCAATATTATTTTAATGCTATCAACATGAACTGTAACCGGGATGGCGTGAAAGATATAGTGAAAACTTCTGATTTCTGCCGTATGGAGGGCTGCGATCGGAATTTTTCGAAACCAACTGAAATGCGCCAAGCCTATAATGCATTGATTTAGAGTGTTTCGTTAAAAAAACAAAACGTGTGTTTTCATTCATACTCTTTGCACTTAAAATAAAATTCTTAACTTCCTTCCTGTTAACATTAGAGATAAAGAACTCGTGAAAATAACTTTAACTTGAAACTTTTAAATTTGAAACTAAATTATGCTACAAAGATTTTAGTGGGCTAAAGGCACGAACTAATTAATGAACCATAGGATCCTCTGTATGTCCTTTAAGTGTAAGACATATGACACGAGATACTTACAGTTACTAATCTTAATTATACGTTTTGACTTTTTTTCTTGCTTTTTATACCAATTATCTAGATTCCAGCAAAGAAAGCAAGAGACTATTTTGCCAAGCAGATTATACATTTCAAGTTAACGGCTTTTAAAACAAATTTTATACCCACGTAGAGTAAACCTATCTAATTTAAAATTCTATTAATTTAGCCTAGTTTACAGTTCGCTAAAAATATTCGAGAACACAGCCGTGAGAGTGTAGTTTTACATGTGTTATAACGTTGAAGAGTATAATAGAATTTGCTCGCCAGTGCGTTCAGATACAATGTTCAACGCGTCAGAAACAATAAGACAAGACAGGAGGGTGTCTTTATTTTGTAAAAACAACTATATAACATCACTGATGCTTGTGACAATTCTTATATAAACGTCTTTCTTTTATATTGTTTTATTTTTATTATGATCTGTACTTCAGGATGAGAATTGTATATAAATATATTTTTCTGGCTTGTAAAATAAGTCTAAAAAATTCTACGTTGGAAATAAAATAGAATAAAAGAAGAAATTCAGCACATGTATTAAATATACCGGGTGCGTCTCAAAAGTGGCTCACCCCTATAAATTTTTTATTTTTTTCAGATAAAAAACTTGGAGATTTGGTATGTTAGTATATGATATAAATTAGAATTGATTGACGTATTCAATTATTTTTGGTTACTTCCTGTTTTACCGGAAATGACAACAGATTTTGATCTTTAAATGGCACTCTCGGTATTTTTACTTTATTCGATAGAAAGACATATCATGTGTCAACTTTTGACATTTTCGCGTATTTAAATTTCAATGTGTGAAAAATACTAATTTTCAATCAAGGAGCTTTAGAATTTGTTTTTTCAAATGGAACAAGGGTGGCTCATTAGCATATTTAGAAAAAGCATTTTTTTACAAATAATTTGATACCACACACTTGGTATTTCAAGTCAAATTGTCGTTATGAACAGCATGTTACAATTTCAAATAAATCATATGCAAAAATGTCAAAAGTTGATATATGATATGTCATTCTATTCGCAGTGTTATTTTCTATCAAATAAAGTAAAAAATACCGAGGGTGTCATTTAAAAATCAAGAGTTGTAGTTATTTCCGTTGAAACAGGTAGTGACCAAAAACAATTGAATACGTCAATCAATCCTAATTGATGTCATATACTAACATACCAAATCTCGTTTTTCATCTGAAAAAATAAAAATGTTATAGGGGTGAGCCACTTTGGAAACCGGTATAAGTATTTTGATATATTATGGTAAATTAGTCTAATATTCTAAATTAAATAATGTTTTAATGCAGTATTGTAAATTATATCTTTGATCAGCAAAATAAAACACTAATTCACCACAATACACCAAAACACTTTACTTTTACACTGGACGCACGTTTCGCTAACCATGTTAGCATCATCAGCAGATGATTAAAACTCAAGACTATACAGGGTGAAAAAAAAAACATATTAAAAAAGACACAACATATTTTTTCTTTATCGTTTTTCAAATAAGTCCAAAATAACCGAGTTATTTTACTTTGAAAATTTCCAAAAAAATAACTTTGCTTAAATTTTCAGAACCACTGGATCTTTTTTAGTTTTTTTTTAATCTAGTATCTGTGTTCATATTATGAAGAAATTATGTTTTTTAACTAAAAACTAAAAAAAATTCAAAAAAATTCAATTTAAAAAAAAAATGCGAATAAAACCTCATATTCGTGTTTCTGGGGTCGAAATATACTATCCCCAAAAATATTTGTACTTATTTAAGACTCACCCTGTATATCTTTGATACTAAAGAAACATACATCTTTAAAGTTTTTAAAATAATTTACTTGAATTTTTTCAGGTCTATGAAGAAAAAATACCATACAGGACGAGTCTTAAATATATGCAAATATTTTAGGGGTAGTATATCTCGACTCCAAAATCACGATTATGATTTTCGCGAAAAAAAATTTGGAAAATTTGGAATTTTTTGGAAATTCTTTTGCAAATTTCAGTTTTTAGTTAAAAACAGTAATTTCTTGTTAATATGGCAGCATAGCTAATAGATTAAATTTACAAGAAAGTTAATCCAGAAAAGATCCAGTGGTTCTCAAATTTATGCAAAATGTCATTTTTTGAAAATTTTCAAAATAAAATAACTCTCAAAATTTCAGTAACTCACTTTCAAAATAAAATAACTCACTCAAATATGTTTCTTTTACCGAGGTCTACAGCACTGAAAATATTTGCACTTATTTAAGACTCACCCTGTATAGTATTTTTTCTTCATATACCTCAAAAAATTCTAGGAAATAATTTTAAATACTTTAAAGATGTATGTTTCTTTGGTATCAAAGATATACAGGGTCAGTCTTCGATAAGTGCAAATATTTTTACACTCACCCTGTATTTTATAATTTTATTTATTTATTTTTTTTTCAAAACTAAAAAATCAGAATGTAAAATGAT